GTGACCCAAGACCTCAACGTCTCTCCCGTATACGATGCCCGCTTCTGGAACCCTCCCCAGAAGTACGTCTGGAAGAACCAGCGGCCGCCCAAGCCCCAGAGCGCACGTATCTACGAAGCCCACGTTGGCATCTCCTCCCCCGAGCCCAAGGTAGCGACCTACAAGGAGTTCACCCGTGACATCCTCCCTCGCATCAAGCACCTGGGATACAACACTATACAATTGATGGCCGTCATGGAGCATGCGTACTACGCTAGTTTCGGATACCAGATCAACAGCTTCTTCGCTGCGAGCAGCCGCTACGGCTTCCCAGACGACCTGAAGGAGCTCATTGATACTGCGCACGGAATGGGCATTACCGTCTTGCTGGACATGGTGCACAGTCACGCATCTAAGAACGTGCTTGACGGTCTCAACATGTTCGACGGCAGTGACCACCTCTACTTCCACGAGGGCGCGAAGGGACGACACGAGCTGTGGGACAGCAGGCTGTTCAACTACGGTTCCCATGAGGTCATGCGCTTCTTGCTCAGCAACCTGCGCTTCTGGATGGAGGAGTACCGCTTCGACGGGTTCCGATTCGACGGAGTTACCAGCATGCTATACACCCACCACGGCATTGGAACGTAAGTATTTATCCGCTTCTACTGCTAGCAAAGACTAACGCACCCAGGGGCTTCTCGGGTGGTTACCACGAATACTTCGGTCCTTCGGTCGATGAGGAGGCAGTCGTGTACCTCATGATTGCCAACGAGTTACTGCACACACTCTACCCCGACTCCATCACAATTGCCGAAGACGTTTCCGGTATGCCTGGTCTTTGCGTGTCGCTCTCGTTAGGCGGAATAGGATTCGACTACCGATTAGCCATGGCTGTACCCGACCTCTACATCAAGTGGTTGAAGGAGAAGCAGGACATTGACTGGGACATGGGCGCACTCGTCTTCACCTTGACAAACCGAAGGCACGGCGAGAAGACCATTGCCTATGCAGAGAGTCACGATCAAGCGTATGTTGATACCCCGGGTTTGACAATCAATACTGACATATTCTAGGCTGGTTGGCGACAAGACTCTGCTCTTCTGGCTTTGCGACGCGCAAATGTACACCAACATGTCGGTCCTTTCGGAGCTCACCCCAGTCATCAACCGCGGTTTGTCTCTGCACAAGCTGATCCGGCTGATCACACACGGTCTGGGAGGCGAGGGTTACTTGAACTTTGAGGGTAACGAGTTCGGTCACCCTGAGTGGCTCGATTTCCCTCGTGAAGGCAACAACAACAGCTTCCACTACGCCCGCCGCCAATTCAACCTCCCAGACGATGAGCTCCTCCGCTACAGGTTCCTCAACGAGTTCGACAGCAAGATGCAGTGGACAGAGGAGAAGTACGGATGGCTTCACTCGCCTCAGGCCTATGTCAGCCTCAAGCACGAGGGCGACAAGGTCATTGTATTTGAGCGCGCTGGACTGTTGTGGATCTTCAACTTCCATCCCCAGGAGAGCTTCACCGACTACCGTGTTGGTGTTGAGCAGGAGGGCACTTACCGTATCGTTCTGAGTACCGACAGCAAGGCGTTCGGTGGCCATGGTAACGTGGACGAGACGACTAGGTTCTTCACCACACCATTTGCCTGGAACGAGAGGAAGAACTTCCTGCAGGTGTACATTCCTAGCAGGACTGCTATCGTAAGTGAGCCTCTTTATGGATCTGTGACACGTGCTAACCAATGAACAGGTGCTGGCGCTCGAGAGCACTTTGTAGGAAGTATGACCGACGTCTAAGAGGCATGGTGATGGATGTTAAATTGAAGGGTCAATATACCCAGCGAAATGATCGTGCCGCATAGTATGAATAGCGATTTATGTCTCGATAGATTAATAGAAGACATCTGCCGATCAAATTATGCCATTGCACTATTCCAATACGTGACAATCACATGTCTTGGCTATCACTTGCGCTTGGAGCATTATAGTCGCGCCCCTGGGTCATGTACCAACAAACACATCAGCGGATACCCCCAGGCTATGTTTTGACAAACGGGCAAATTTGGATATATCGAGATCTAATGGCTGTCACATACATTGCAATTAATTCAGCTAATTCTCATATAGCAAAGACCTGCAGGTTCGAGTGGAGTGATACGTCTTTACGTCTTGAAACAAGCCATAACATCCTTCCGAAGTATTGTTATATTTTTGCTCTTTGTTCGAAATCAGCTTGTGACTACCTTTTAATCAAGGTGGCTAGTATCTTTTTGCCCACGAAAGGTGTGAGTGTCATGTGAAGTGGAAGTGAAGGTGAAAAGTGAAGGTGAAAAGTGAAGGTGAAGCCGGATTGAGAAATCAGGACGCTCACTACTTCTATGAAAATTCTTGCAGCCTACAATTGTTTCTCCGTTACCACCAACACCTCAACACTCTACTACATCACAAAGCATCATCATCACGATGGAGTACCAGTATCCCGCTTCCGCTGGCACCAGCAAGACCATCACCATGCACCTCCCCACGGGGGTCTACTACGCCACCATCCGCCCCACCATGAAAGAGGGCGACGACATCTACGCTGCGCTTCGCGGAGCTCTCGTGGGCAAGATCGGTCCACTCTTCAACATCATTGTGTGGCACCCGACCGCCAAGCAGAAAGTCCGCCTGGACTATAAACACCTTCACCCCAACATCGCATACCGCATCGAAACGACCCTCAAGGGCCGTCAGCAAGGTCCCGGCATTTCGGCCTCCGGCGCCTACAAGAAGGTGCAGAGGCATCTCGAGGCCATCTGCGGGCACTGGAAGCTGTCTGAAGGCAGTGAAATTCTGCCTGAGAAGATCGCTCCTCGCGATGATGAAGGCAATTTGGTGTTTCCTGCAAATTGGCCTGCACGTTTCGCCGACGAGGTCCGCAAGCTGAGCGGCCACAGTGTCGATAGACACGAAGTCGCCATGGGCTTCCTGGTCGCAGCCGTGGAGGCTAGACGGCAGCGAGAAGGCGACATGGGGCCAGCGACAAGCGGAGACTGCAGGACTGCGATGACCTGGCTGGCTACAAACACCGCAGACCAGGCGTACGCGCACCTACCAGAGGAGGTAGCGGCTACACAGATGTTCGCGGGTGGCTTGGCGGAGGCGGTACAGCAGGCCCTGGAGCAGACCGAGGGTGAGGGAGCGGCAGTTGGATCGGCGTACGAGGAGGCTGGCAGATTCAACATCGGTACACACTTCCGATCTGCTTGAGCATTGGGGACCGGGACGGTAGACACATAGTTGCTGAGTTTTGCTTTCTGAACGTGCTGACAATATGAACGTTCCTCATTCCAAGCCCAAATTTCCTGTCTCCTTCGCAAGATCATGAATACTTTTCAAGGCCTTACAGATACCCTTGTGAATCGGCCAGTCCCGCTTCTGATGCTCAACGCTACAGTACCTTGACGACTTACACTGCGAACATGGCTTTAGCCCCTCGGACTTGCCACACACCTCGCAGCTACGCGCCATACTGGGGCCCTTACAAAAAATCTTGTGATTCGGCCAGTCCCGCTCCTCATGCTCAGCACTGCAATACATCGCCCACTTAATCCCACACTTTGAACATGGCCTTGACCCCTCGAATTTGCCACACACCTTGCAGGCGTGCTCTGCGTCATACTTCATTTGATCCGCTCTGAAGACTTTCATAAGTTCGCTAGCCCCCTCTACACATTCCTTTGTACCACAAGTTGGCACGATGCCAATGACAACGAACGGTTCCGGCGTGTGTAGTTGGGAGACGCAGAAAGTCTTTCCGTATCTTGTCGGGGCTTCTTTGCAGACTAAGCATTTTGGACCACTCCTTGTGTTGAACTCGTTCTGGTGTTCTGCGATGATTGAAGGCATGGCTTCTCCGAACTCGCGTTCGTATGTTGGGGGTGGGCTCGAGTGCATCTCTGGAGGAATAATGAGAGATGCGGGGATCTCGCAGTAAAAGTCCCAGGGCTTCACTTCTTGGAAGCTTAGAGGCGTGCAGTGCATACGTACGGTGCGCATTCCTGGTTTGGGTTGCGCTGTGCTCTTTGCTTTGTCTTTTCCCTGGCTCTGCTTGCTCGACGAGGCGCTGCTACTTGGCTGACTGGGCCCAGATTGCTGTTTTCCCTTACTCGTTTCAGTTTTCTTGTTCTTTTGCTGCGCTGGAGCCGTGTTGGGGGTAGACGTCGAGGTGCTTGATGTTCCGTTTTCTTCCTCGTCAAGGAGCTTCCAAGCCTGGCAGGTTTCCTCCAAGTACTCTTTCGCGAACTTCAGGTCTTCGCAAATACGCTTATGTTTCTTCCAATCAGCCTTTTGATGCTCTCTACTGCAATATCTCGTCACCCTACATCTGGCACATCTCATTGCTCCATCCTTCCGCCCGCAGTGGCAGGGAGTGCCATTAGATATTTTGCTTTGGAGATGAGCTGTGGTCATTTCGATCATCGCTTCGTGTGCTGCGATCACTTTTGTCTTACAGGACCGGCTTCCGCAAGTGGCATAAACGTTTATCCTGATTTGCGGAGCATCGAGAAGTAGCAGGCACTCCGACCTGAAAAGCAAATTGGTAGCCTTCGAGCTGCAAAACATACACGGATGTCTGGAAACTGTCTGTTTACACTGAGGCCGATGCTTGGATTCGATGTCCAAGAGTGTGGAACGAAGCTGGGCTTTGTATTCGGGCGTCTCTCGAACCTCCAATGGTGCCCCCAATAGATTGGTGGGCACGCTCGCAGCGCCGTCCCAGGAGGGAATGTTCATGACACCTTCACTCCCCCGGTAATTGATGTGGAGTAAGATATTTTGAGTAGCCATGATTGAAGGTTGAAGGTGGATGAGAAGGTAAAGTGAAGCACTTCAGAATTGAGAGGTTATGATCAACGCACTGACCAGCATTGATGCGCTTGCTAGCCACCCCTCATGTGCAGACCATTCTAGAAGGATCGCAACAGATCAATTGATCGGTCTCAACACAGAGGTTGATATTGTTCAGTCTAACCTCAGCCTCTCGCCCTAGCCTTCAATCTCAACGTCCCACTATCTTCTTCCCCACTATCCTTCCTCAACTGTGCCTCGATCAGTCTCCCAATATTCCCTCCACCCTGCATCACACCCCCTCTCAGCAGCTCTGTTATGACGCGTCCTCTAACGACCGTCTCTTCAACCACACCCTCAACATTCTCAGGCCCTATGCGCCCATACCAGATGCCCGAACCCTTCAATGCATTACCCTCCATACTGGGAGGTAGGTACATGATGACATTGCCAGCATACTTGTGCCCACCAATATGACTGATCAGCCCTACATCTGCTTCTATACCTCTCCGCTGAAACTCAGATCGAAATGAGGATTGTAACAAGGGCCCGAGAATACCACAGCGCTGATCGCGGCCACCGTGGCCGCATATCAGGATCGTGGGTTTGGTGATGCTTTCCGCCTTTGGTAGTTCGGTCGCTTTCGACTCGTCACGAAGGAGATGAGACTTTTGCTCAGCGGAGAGACCATCGTGCATGGCATGGAGATTGCGAGCCTTTAGGTACGCGGCCGCGAAGTTGGAGAAGGCTTCGGGGGTATGCGGGATATCCGGTATGCGTTTGAAACTCGGGAATAGCAATGCCGTTGTCGCGCCTGCCTTTTCACTTTTCGGTAAAGAGGAAGCAGTGATGAGAACGTTCGTGAATGGCTATATGATGCAGCAACGCGTCAGCTTTCCAAGTATCATAGAATGACCGTACTGGGGAACAGACCTACATCAAACCCGGGACCGCCTTTTCCAATCACACCTTTGAGCCCCTTTACAAACTCCCCGGTCTCGCCCTCCTCCTGCTCGATGTTGCTGACCCAGTCTTCCTTCCCGGTACAGAATATGACCTGTTCAGAGTAGGCCGCCATAGTGTTCAACAGTGGTGTCTTGCGATCAATGTCTAGATCGGGAGGCGTTGCCGCGCACTCGCAGCTCGGTGACGGACATGATTGCGTGTACGGTATCGCGGTCTGGAAGCGCGTCCGGGTCGTGGAGAATGAGCGAAAGGAGCGTGGTATAGCAGCCCGAGAGATTCGGGTGAAGGACATGTTGCGAAGTTGGCGTGCGAGATACTTGGGGGCGATGTGGAAATTGTATGGGCGTTTCGGAAAGCATTCCGCGATGATGACGCGAAGTCGGGGCATTACAGTACACTAGCGCGGGCTCGGAGTTTGGTGCACACCGAAGGTCACAGGCAATGGAAGATTCAGAAGACGACATGTGGTCGGCAACATAATTGACGATTTTAAAGGGTCTCCTCAATATACGTGTTTGAAGTGCACCTGACTTATCCCAGAATTAACCCCTATCATGTCTCCAGCCATGCATCCCGCCGCTCAAACGCCCGCTCAAAAGGCCACCGCCGCTGTCTCCACCACCGAAACCTCCAGGGCTTCCAAAGCCACCGCTCCGACGATTACCACTACCACCGTTGAGTAGCTTGTCGAACTGCTCAATACTTACTATTGCACGTTGCTGTACATCATTGTCCGCATCGCGACCCAGCTGCTTAGCGCCTTCCTCGAAGCCCAGTTGGCGAAGGGTGATGGCACGTTCACGTGTAGCGGCTTCATCGGTATGATCTTCTATCCACACGAGATTGTGCAGCATCCAGGACAATGCGACGCGGATGTCGCGGCGAGGGTGAGTGAAAAGCTGAAGAACATGCTGCATGAGCGTGGTCTGCGAGATGAGAAGAGAGCGGTGCTGAGGCCGACCATTGGCGAGATGCACGAGGATATATACGGCGGCAAGAATGAGTTCAGGGGCAGGGTAGGTGGCCCAATTTGGCTGCGCCGGGGTGTTCGTGGAAGAAGAAAAAGGCGTGCGGTGGCTGGTACTTGGCCAGTAGCTTGGGGCTGTAGCACTAGGCTGAGCTTGTGACATCGTCTTTGGCCGGATCTTAGCATCGAGAATTTCGAAGAACCGACTGTGGCCAAAGGTCTTGAGCAGGTGGTCGATCATCTCACCGGAAGCTTTGTCTTCTGAAACAAAGTTCCGGATGAAGTCCAACGCTTGTTCTTGTATACGGATATCGTCGCGCTCGCCGTTAAGCCGGTTGTCCTGTTCGTCGTTCTTGATCTGTTGTAACCGATCTCGAATGTTAGTTGCACTTGTATACCGTGAACCAGGACGTTGATGCCGTCGCATAGACGGTATACTTTCGGTCATGGCGTCATCATCCTCTTCGGATGACGGCTCTTCGTCCACATCCATATGGGGCTCGTCAACCGCATTGAGAATATCGACTTGCTCTCCTGCTGCGTTGGGTGTACCCATAGCTGGCTTGGATGGTTCTCCATTGAGTACTTGTACGAGCCAGCCAACACCGAGCTCCTCAAGGCATTGTATCTTCATGGCATGTGGTAAGCCTAGGCACAAGTGCTTGAGCGCCCAAAGGCTACCGAAACGAAGGTCGAAGTTTGCGGATCTACATTGTTCGCAGAGCGTTCCCAGTACTCCAGACTCGACGATCTCCTAGTAAATACATTAGCATGGAAAAACTACACAATGAGCATCATACTTACAGTTCGCATAGGTGACACATCAAGCACCAAGTTGGTGATGACCTCCGTAGCAGCAATCTGCACTTTGACGTTCGGATGCGTTAAGAGCTCGAAGATCGGCTGTGCAACTCCGTGATCGATCAAGCTGGTCCTCAGCACACTGACAGACCTGGAAAGCGACCGTATGACTTTACACGCAGCAATGAGCACCGAATCTGGGTTGCCGTCCTTCGCTGAAGAAGACGCGCCCTGCTCGTTGCTTTCACGGTAAGGAACCAAGGCTTCGATGATGTGCGTTGCAGCGCCCATCTCAATGACCATCTTTCTCAACGCATCTTGGTCTCCTGCTATCGCCGCCAGAGCCAGTAGCACACTCTCTCGATACCTGAACGCGTGCAATACATCGGCGCTTAGTCCAGGTCTGCCCAGTGTGGAAGATGCAGGGTCAATATCTGGGTCTTTCACTTCGTGAGATGACGATCGTGGTTGCCAGAGAGGTTTTGAAGATGTAGCCGGCACATCGAACGACTTCTTGAGAATCTGAATAAGGGTCGGTAGGGTTCGATTATGAACGGCCGCTGTTTGAAGAGTCTTATTTCCCGCAATCAGCTCAGCAAGCACAACTGGCGAGCGTTCCAACACGAATCGCATCTCATCTCTTGAAGCAGGGCTTAGAGTATTAGCTCTTTTCGCTTGCTCTGATGTCGGACTTGAATCTTCGATCATCTTCTCAACGAGAGGAATGATGAGATACGAGAAGTGGCGCTCTCGTGATGTCTTGGAGGGATCGTTCAAAGGCCAGCGCTCGCCGAATTTCTTCAGCAGTGCTAACATCCCACAAGCAGATAGACGTTCTCTGCCTTCACCGCGGCGGGCGACGTATATAAGCCATATGAAGAGCGGTGACTCGGATTCGTCAGTGATCACACTCCGACTTGAGTTCTGCTGCAGCGAGTCCATACTCGGTAGTCGAGAATAGTTATCCCCGGTGACAGAGCCATAGGCACCAAGCGCCGGCCATTGTTTGATGTACGGATCTGATTTACTCGCCATGGTCTGTACCCGTGGTATTAGCTTATCCCACGATGCCGCTTGTGTACTTCCATCTGATGCATTCCGCTCTTTTGGCCACCCAAAAAGCTGCTGTATTGAGTGTGAATACAGGAAGCGTGCGGTATAGTAATGCGAGTCCCTAATGATGACCGAAATGGCTTCCATAATGTCTGACAAACGAATCCGATCTGTCGGCGTCAAAGCCGATTTCTGAACACTGTTCGAGCCGTCGCCTCCTGTTGTCGTTGCCTGACCATTGGATTGCCTCCACTCGGTTGCGGGGATACGATCGTCCATGGCGGCGACAGCAGCAAGTTTGTCAGCGAGGAGATCTAGTACTCCCGCATCTACTAGCATCTTCTTCTGATTATCTTCTACGCACGTCTTCGTGATGAGCCGGATCGTCGAGTCAATCTGTTGGTAGGCCTTCATCGTGCCTGTCGGTTGCGCCAGTATCTCGGCCAAGCTGTCAATGACAGGCCTGGTGTATATCGATTCGTTGACGGTAAAGGCGAGAGACGATCGGGAGGATGATTCGGAGTGGTCGAGCCAGGGCTTTTCTTGGTTGACTGCATCGACGATCTGGTTGAGGGTTTTAAGGGTCGTGGTAACGAGTTTCGCAGGCGTCTCGCTGGGTCGTAGCGCTTCAAGCAGGGGAGGTAGTACGTGACCTGCCAGAAGCGGAGCGACGAACGCTGGTCCGCCTGTATGTCTCAAATATCAGCCAACATGTTCCTTCACAGTAGTATCGGTTCGCGATGCGCGCTCACCATTCGCAAGGCTGCCGGCAACGAGCGTGGCCTGGAACCTCAACTCATCCTCGGTCGTCCACTCCTCGGCGCTCTTTCTGGACTCATTGAAGAGCCCAGAGCTGTGTCCATTGGTGACGTTTCTCCTCCTCTTCCCACCCTTCCTAGCTTCCGCCCGTAGCAAGCCCGCCAGTGGTTTCACAACACCATGTGTCACTGCCAGTTCCTTCCTCTGCTCGTGTCCGACAATCTCATTCTTCAAATTCTGGAGCGCGGCGAGCTGTGCCTCGGGCGTGCTCGGATTCGCGAGCTCGCTGAGCGCGGGAGGAATCGTTGACCGGCCCATGGCGTAGACGGAGAGCGAGCGGGTTTTCGGAAATGGGCGTGTGCTACAACCGACTGGCGCAGATTAACGGTCGTCGTGCAGCCTCATGCGAAGAGGTTCAGTGCTGGGCGCACAAGCGTGTGGCAATGACGGACGGCGCAATGGAAGGTCCCAGGGAAACTGCGGCTTGAGAGGTTGGAGAATCGTAGGAAGGCGCAATAGAAAATTGTATCACTGTTCATGCGGCAAGTAAGCGCTAATTCAGAACAGTCGTCAGTCGCGATGAGAAGTTTGCAAGGTAAGTCGTGCTTCGCCGCGTGGTCGCGAGGGAACTTTGATGATGCACAAAGCCGCCCGCGCTCCATCGCGTTGGCGCAAACGTCAGAGTCGCGATAACACTTTGGTTATCGCCACGTGATCTACCCTTCATGCGAAGTCGTTCCAAGACTTCCATGTCCGAACAGAGCAAATGCGTACATTCATAACGTGTTACATAATCATGACCCAAACTCCCATGAGTACCGTTACAGTCGTGACACGCATCCCAAAATCCCTTCCCGATGCCACCGTCCCGCCGCCAAGACAAAAGAGAATCGTGTAGCCATCAATACAAAAGGGTGCCGAAGCAGACCCAGAAAGATGCAAATGCATAACCCCCAGAGTTTTGGTCTCTTCATCCATATCCATAAACCTCGGTATCGTTCTCCTTCACGACACCCCCCTCGGTAAGTATGACAACAGCCACACATGCCGCATACGCCTCCCGAATCGCACAAGCCATGCACGTCTCCTTGATATTTGCCACAATAGCACTATGCCCATGATGCGCGCACCATGCTCTTGCGAAAACCTCGTTATCGCTTACACCCAAAGCCTCTATAACAAGGACATTGGTGACTTGCTCGTGCGCACTCTTTTGCTTCTCGTTCATGAGTGTAAGGGCTTTCTTGCCAGGAGAGGATTTGGACGACGTGGGACGGGGTATGCGACCGGACTGGGTACCCCAATCATGGATGTCGACGAGACCGTCGTCAATCTTTATGGCTTTGTAACTAAAGTCGTAGAAAAGCACTGACGCGTGTTAGCATGTGACAAGCTTTTGTTGAGGAATAATCCATACCATGAGGGCCCTGGTGGCAGGGGAAGGCATTGATGAAGTCGACATTGTATCGCAGCTTCATCACCCAGCTCTCACCACCACATGCAAATGAAATGCCAGCATCAAACAGTATTGGTGGACCAGCAGCATGTCTGGTTCCTTCTGGACGCTCCTTAACGGGGATGAAGCGAAGCTTCTCCATACGTATGAGGTCTGTGACATCTTCGGTGTCTGGCATAGGGACCTCGTAGTCGTCCACGGGATACATGTCGTCTGGCGCGCCCAAGGGATTGCTGCGCTGATCCATAGATTCTAC